CCATTGGAGGCTCTGGTGACTTCTCTGTCCCTTTGACATGACCCACAATCCTTCCATCTTATGAGCACTTCTTCCTGTCTGGCTCCAGAAGATACTGCTGGCTTATCTCTTCCCTGCCCCAAACTTCAAAGTAGTTGTTTCTGTGAGAAAAAATCTTGTTAAAAAACAAAACCAATCACCCAATTATCTTGTCAAAAGGCCAAATATATTGCAGTGTATTTTTTAAAAGGAAGAGTTAAGATGATTTGTTAGGTTTCTTTACCAGGCTGCACCCCTTCCACACTGCCAAGAGTCTCTTTCCCCTTTGAGTAAATTTAAATCCACTGCTGTCAAGTGTGAACCAAGTCATAGTTTATCCTCCACTGCATAGAGTCGGAACCGACCCATAGCTGTCCCTCTGGCGGGTTTTCAGAGGCAGTTAATCATATTGGGAGAGGTTTTCCATCTCTTTCCCACAGAGTAACTGGTGGATTTGAACTGCTTCCCTTCAGGATTGCAGTGCAGCTTCTTGCCACTAGGCCACCAGACCTTCACTGGGTTTGTAAGGCTGTAAATCACACAAGAGGAGAGTCTTTCTCCTTTGGAGCAGTGGGTAGATGCAAACCACCTACCTTTGGCTTGGTAATGAAATTCCTTTTCTACTAATTTAGTCACTCAGAAATAAGAAAAAACATGTTTTAAAAATCAAGTCTTCACTACCACCCAAAAACAACCATTATGAAAAATTTGGTATACTAAAGGAGTCATATGTCTTAAAACAAAGCTCAGAAGGCTTGGTGGGGCAGGAAAGGATGAATGGAAACAAGAATTCAAACATGGAAGTGGGTAGATGCTATTACAATGATTAAGTTTTGACTATCTCAAGAAGAGATATAAATTAGTGAATGGAAAACAGATTTGCTCTGTAATTTTTCACCTGAACCACAAAAAAAGTTCCATATATCTCCCTACAGGTTTTCCTTATGCATTTAAATAGATACACAAACAGTTGTGCATCCTAGTTCCTTTCATGTATTTTATGTTCTTCAAAGGAATAAATTGGGGGGGGGGGTTTACAGAAAGCTTGCGTTTTCATTCATTCACTGTTGCGTATTTTCCTCCCTCCCTCTCGTTTCCTCCTCTCCTAGTCCACTTTGCAATGCACCTCTTGTTGCAGACTGCTGTCATACATACAATGCCTAATCATAGATCCCTTTCAGACAGTCCTTCCTCTCATCTGTTTAAATGCAGTGTTCATTATCTAGCCATTCTTTTCTTATTCTTCCCTCAATCCTCATGTCAGTTCTATTTCATAACAGCAGTGTTATGCAGTATTTGTCAAAAGTGTAAGTTTTAATGGATGAATACAACTGATTCATTGAGATCAACCATCCTTTGTGAAACTTACCCCCTAAAATTAGATTTCTGCATTATTTCCAAGATATTACAATTAGAAATCAAGTTTCACTGAGTATCATTGTATGTAAATCTTTGGTTGTTATTATGTACAATCAAGTTGGAATAGCTGACCCTCCAGCAGATTTTCAGAGGCAGTAAGTCATACTGGAGAAGACTGCCCATCTTTCTCTCTAAGAGCGGGTGGATTAGAACTGTGTGCCCTTGGGATTTCAGCACACCTTTTTGCCATTATTAGGTCACCAGAACTCACTTCTCCCCAAGCTTGGGATAGGGGAGAAATGGGGTAGGAAAGATGGGGGAGTTTATTCCTGGGTGCTTTATAGAAAATCTTTATTAGGCCCATGATAATTTCTCTGGTAAATTTTTAAGAAACTAATTACTAAGTTAAAAGTTATGTGTGCTTTTAAGCTTCACTATTGCTGTGAGTCATAGTTGACTCAACAGCTCCTAACAACATTAACATTGTTCGTTAGATGTGAATAGGGAATTCTGATGGTCTAATAACAAAGTCTCCAGTTTGAGAGCCTCCTATGTGAATCTGTTGGGTTCTGGAGGGTAAGTTGTTTTGATTTAATTGAAAGTTGGGTGTGAACTGTTTGATCATTTTTTTTATTTCACGAACAATAAAAGTGTAAGCTAACTGGTTGTTTGAATTTACTTAACAATCAGCTGTGGGGTGGAAGCCTCTTATTAAATCAATTAGGCTGGACAGGTGGGTCTTTGTATTAAAAAGTCGGTTGAGCCCTGTTTGGGTTGGTTCCCAGTTTGGAACCTCTGTGTGAAGCAGCTGGATTCTGGAAGGTAGATTGTTTTGCTCTACTTGAAAGTCGGATGTAAACTGTTTGGTTGTTTTGATTTAGTTATCAGGTGTAGGCTGGAAGTCTTGTTTAAATCAATCAGAACCTGGTTGGCAAGTCTAATTGTGTTTGGGGAGAACATTGTTCTCAGTGGTACAGGACCTATCAATCAGTTTGCTGTACTGAGATAACTTAGGGTTGCTATAATACTGAAATCTGTTCCACTAAGTGTGTCAAATGCCATAAGGGTTATCCATGGTGGTGGACAGGGTTTAGTTGAGCTCTCAGATTAAGACAGACAAGGAAGCAGGATTGGCATCCACTTCTTAAACAACAGGTCTTTGAAAACCCAATGAACACTAGAGGAACTAGGTGTGTTACAGGTAATGAAATTGGTTCGAGAGTGTTCAGAGTTGTTGTACATAGGGCCATTATGAGTCACAGGTGACTCAAACAGCACATAACAACATGTGGTAAGAAGCTCCATTGCAATCCTGATGGCACGTGGTTCAAATCCACCAGCTTCTCTTTTCAAGAAGACTGGGCAGTCTCTTCCCATGAGTCTCTGAAAACCCACTGGAGGGTCAGCTCTGATTCGATGGCACACAACAACAACGCAGAAAGGATATAATGCAAGCAGTGCAGTAAAAGCCTATATAAATTAAATCTCATGTTATTTTTTTTCTCTTTCCCAGTTTGCTTGGCAAAAATTAGTGTCCTTTGAATTATTAATGATTCTTCACTAACCATCAAGTTAAAAAAAGCATTTAATAATTAAGCATATACTTATGACCAAGCAGTTCTACTTTGGTGTTTATCCAAGAAAAAAAGAAACTATGTTTACAGACCTTGTTTAATGTCAAAGTGAAAACAACCTAATTCCTATCAGTTAATAAATGGATCAAGAAGGTGTGGTACATTCATGCTATGGAATACTGATTAGTAATAAAAAGGAATTCTATATGAACGTCTGTAATGCATTCACGAAACTAAAATATACTGTGTTAAGTGACAAAACCCAGACACAAGACCCTATAGTGCATAAATCCATCCACATGAAATCCTTAAAAAAGAAGGAAATAGTGACAGAAAGCAGACCAGTGGTTGCCTGTGACAGGACTGAGGACTGTCTGGAACCCTGGTGAGAACACCTTTCAGGGAGTTAGGCTGCCATCTAGAGTGTGGCCATGGTAACACAACGGTAGGCAGTTCCCCAAATTTATCAAACACTGCATTTGAAATAGATGAATTTTATGGGGGGGGGAAATCACTTGAGAAATGTGGGGGGAACTTTATTTTCTTTCAAATTTTCTCCCTAGTCATAATACTCTATGTAGCTATAATAAGTACAATATGATTATTTCTATTTTAAACATTTTATACCAAAATACTTTTATATTTTTATGTAGACTTCCTGGTTATAATTTTACATAGTTCCATAACTGCCACATAACAGTTCCCCCACCATCAAAGGTGAGTTATGAGTCAAAGTAAATGATTCTTCAATGTTGGGATGCCACCAAGTGGACAAACTGCATAATGTTGCTGAGAACAAATGGTTTCATATCATAGCTATATAATTACCTCATCGATCTCTTGGGATAACTTAATTCCCAAATCTGAAACTAGGGAAATCAGCTAAGAAAAAAGAACACTAGGAATGCACCCTGAAGAAAACAGAACTGAGACACAAATGGAGATATGTAATACCTACATTCGTAGCAGTGTTATTCACAAATAGCAAGAACAAGGGAAAAGCCCATCAACAAACAAATGGATTGAGAAATTGTGATCCATTCATATGATGGAATATTATGCATCTCTTAGGACTAATGATTTTTTTAAAAATATTACATACCATGAGAGAGGCTAGAGAGTATTATGCTGAGTGAATGAAATTAGTCTCATAAGGACAAATACTGGTTAATACTAATTGTAAAAATAGAAGGATAACTAACAATATTTGTATGAAAGTCCAAAGGGGGAAAGGGAAGGATAGGCATGAGAGCTGAGAGTTCGGGAGGGGTGGAAATCACAGGGTCGCAGAGTTTGGTGGGAGGAAGAAGGAGGTGAAGTAATTAGAAACGGTCCAGTTAGGACCTGAAAAGACGGGTCAGGAGTGGGCATAGATCAATGGTGATTAATTTTATAAAACAAAATGTATGGGAATGATCATATGAAACATAATGTGAATGAAAGAGCATGGGAAGCACAATGTAGATGAAACAGTGTATACAAATTCTGTATGCAAGCCAATAGAACATTTAAAAAATGGAAAGAAAGAGCTTCATGTTGAAATTGGGGTTCTTACCACTAAACCCTCAGAGACCTCTCCAAAGGTGTGAATTACAGGGATGCCTGTAGCTCAACACACCCCTCCACAGATTGAATGGAACTATTTTGAAAAGAAAAAAGTGCCATTCCAAATAACTCTAGGAACAGCACTAGTTTGTGAAGGTAAAACCAGTTGAGAGAAAAGTAATTTGGTTTGCTGAGACAATAGCTCGGGGCCCTTAACTTTATAGTGGTAAAATTTGAGGCCTGACTTCTCTTTACAGAAACATGTTTGCTTAATTTTATTTATATTCTCCATAAGAAATATTCACATTATACCCGTGATAAAAACTGAAAAGATATAACAGAATGAGAAGGCTTCTTGCAGCTGCTATCCATATCTAGACTTTCTCATTTGCTTTTAAGATGCATTGTGCTCCACTGTACAGATGTACCCTAAAATATTTAGGCAATTCCTAATTATAATGGACAGTTAGCTTGTTTCCAATCTTAGATGATTTATCTTCTTACCTGAAACTCTCAGGGCAAATTCTATTGCCTTTTCAACTGGGTCAGAATTTACAACTTCATCTAGAATACCCAGCTTGAGTGCTTCACGTGCCGAAACATGCTTTCCTAAAACAAAACAAAGCAAAAACCTTGGTGACATTAAGGCAAAAGTATAATTATCTCTAGTTAAAACTCAAATTTACGCTGATTGCTGTCAAATGGGAACTGACTCACAGCCTACTCTGTTTGGTATCCAAAGCATTAAGTCATGTGTGAGGAAAATAGGTGAAGTCTTGGTGTTAGCAGCTTACTCCCTACAGACTACAGGACCAGAGCACCCTCCTGGATATGACTGCCTATTACTAAATATAAACTATAGGACCACACTCTTTTGTAGAAGAGTACTGCAGAGGTAGCCAGAAATCTTGAATTCCCATTCCAGCTCCACCTGTCACTATTTGTGTGACTGAAGGCCCTTCATGGATCACAACTTCTTCACTGGTAAATAATGACACTTACCTCAGGAATTCAGAGTCTTTAAGTGAGAATAGTATATATAAGAGCCCTTTATAAACTACAAAGCTCCATAAAAGAGATCATTAAGTGTTTTTATAACAGTACAAATAGCACTCACCACAGCAGTAGCAATAGTAGCCACCTCAGTTTGAACCCAGAGACACCTGAAAATAAAGGCTTAGCAATCTACTGCCACAAGCCCACAGCCGTGAAAATCTGGCAGACAGTTCTGCCGTGAGACACATGGGCTCACCTTGATATCGTTCTGTGTCTCTTTTGGTGATCAGCTGGTGTGGGAAGAGGAGATGTAGCTCCCAAACACCACTATTATTGAGTAGACAGGAAAAAGTTATTAAGTTGACACTGTATGACGGTTACAATCAAAACTACAGAGGACAAATAGAATGGCCTTCTGCCTTTCCTCCCCCTCTAATATCTGAATTACTAAAAATGTTTACCATTATTTTTGCTCATTTCAACTGACTTTTAATCTGGGCCCTACCACTAATACTGTAACTATCTATGTTCCTCTATTGTTCATAGCGTTTTCAGGTCTAGCATTTAAGAACTGAATGTCCATGCCTACTTCTTAGGCTGAGAGTAAAGGATACCGAAAGAATGTCTATCTGACCTAGGGACTGGGGAGAAATTAAGAAAAGAGGGGATAAATAATGTACACTGCACCGAAACAGACATGGGAAAGAACTGTTTAAAAGGAATAATTAGGTATTATCTGCATGACAAAAATAAGAGCTGCATAGAAAAGTGGACTGGGGAAGGGGAGCTGTGCAACAATGAATGAATAGAAATTCAATTTCTCTATAAACTTTCACTAAAATCTCAATTAAAATTTAAAAAAGCAAAGGGGAAAAAGAAATACACTATTTTAAAAAAGAATGTCTATTTAGGTTTTATTGACTATGCCAAGACATTTGACTGTGTGGATCATAACAAGCTATGGTTAACATTGAAAAGAATGGGGATCCCAGAACATTTGTGTTGATGGGAAGCCTATATCTAGACCAAGAAGCTGTTGTGCAAACAGAGCAGGGGAACACCATATGGTTTAAATATAAGGGAGTGCATCAGGATGATATTCTTTCTCCATACCTATCCAATCTGTATACTGAGAAAATAGTTCTAGAAGCTGGACTCTATGAAGAATGTGACATCAAGATTGAAGGAATGCTCATCAATAACCTGCATTATGCAGGTGACACAACCTTACTTGCCAAAAGTGAAGAGGACTTCAAGTACTTGTTGTAGAAGATCAAAGAATACAGCCTTTAATGTGGATTTCATATCACTGATGTCAAGAAAACAGTGATTCTTACCACTGGACTTGGAGAAAAGATGGAAACTATGAACTTCATCTTACTTGGATCCACAATCAACACCTCTCATACCAGCATCGAGAAATCAGGAGCTGTATTCCACTGGGAAAGTGTGTAGTCAGAGACCTCTCCAAATTACTGAAGAGTTATGTCAGTTTGAGGACTAAGGTGTGTCTGATTCAGGCCATGGTCTTTTCAATCACTTGCTATGCATCTGAGAGCTGGACAATGAATAAGGATGAAAGAAAAACGTATGCCTTTGAGCTGTGGTGGTGGAGAAGAGTAGTGAACATCCTATGAACTGTCAAAAGAACAAACAAAAACGTCTTGGAGAAAGTGCAGCTAGAGTGCTCCTTAGAGGCAAAGATGATAAAGCTTCACCTCACACTTCTGGCATATTGCTAGGAGGGACTATTCCTTAGTGAGAGACATGATGCTTGGAAAGACAGAGGGTCGCTGAAGTAGAGGAAGACTCTCCACCAGGTGAATTGACACAGTGACCTTTGCAATGGGCTTTAGTGTCTGGAAGTGTGAGGATGGCCCAGGATAAACAGGGTTCAGATCTGTTGTTCATCGGGTCACACTCAACTTGCTGGCACCTAACAACAGCAACAACATCTCAACATCTCTGTTGTGTGAGCTTTGCAGCCCTGTCCCTGTATATAAGATGAAAAGAAATCATCATGATTGATTTTCCTTCAGACCTAGGGTAGCTACAGTGTGGTCGAGCTCAAGCTGCCCAGTGAATGCTCTGTTGCAGGTGAAAGAAAGCAATAGAAACAAGTTAGATCATTCCAAAGGTACTAGATACATCTAGAATTTCCTAGTGTGACTGTTATCTAGGGTCCCTACCTACATCTAGAGTCCAGCAGTGGTGCTGGAGGACTTCAGTGTCCAGTGGTGACACTCTACAGAGTGTCCTCTACAGAACAGAATCACAGCTCTAGAGGGTTACAGAAATTTGGAGAGGCTTTGCATCATCACATTCTGCCTTGGAGGTTCTGCATCAGCTGTAACTGTTTCATTCCATCAACATATTCTGCAGTGGAAGGTAGAGAATGCAATCATTCCTTGCCACAGGGTCAGAATAGAGCAGACGATGACACCGAATTTGCTTTCTTGTAGGTACCATCATGCCTTCTTCAGCAGTCATCACATCAGTCTCAGTGGTACTTCACTCACCACTGCAGAGCAGGTTCCAAGGCATTTTAACAGGAGATAGTCCACCTTTCTCCCATGAGCAGCTTATGAATTCGAACCATCTAAGCTATGGAGCCTTTGGACTAGCAGCTGCCTTTGCTATGTGCTGTGCCATCAGAGCTACCTGGTGCTTAGTTGTTGTTGTGTGTCTATGAGTTGCTTCTGACTCGAAGACACATACACAGAGGGTTTTCAGAGACAATGAACCACATAGGAGGGGACTGTCCATTGATCTCCACAAAGCAGATGGTGGATTCAGGCTAAGCATCTTTGTCAGCTAAAGGGCATCTCTTACATAATCACTCCTGCTTCCTATTTCAAAGAAGCAAGAGTGAGTTTTCTTTAGATATATTGCCTGTTTGGGCAGAGATCACACTGTAATAGCAATAATTGGGAAGGTTTGGGGGTTGGGGTGCTTTTTTCCCCCTGGAACTGACTTTGCAAACTGGCTTGGAAATCTTCCGCTGATGTGGCGAATGGGATGAGGAACTGAGAAGAGGGTCCAGGCACCAACTTTCATCTATAAAGAGCATTTGAATGAGATGTGAGTGAGACCACCTACCCAGGTGAAGGGGCCAAGTGGACACAAAAGAAAAGGAGAAACCGAGGGACAGGAAGAATCTGTGGGGCAATGGAGCAAGGAGGACGTGAGGTACACACAGGACGGAGCAGAGAACGAATTCTTTGGACCTGATTTCCATAAAAATGGAGAAATACCACTAATACTTAGAGACTCAAAGATTCCAAGTGCTTTTATTGTTTTAAACATCCAAGTACCTTAGACTCAGATGTAAACTTGGTTTTTCTCTTGAGTCACTCTTGGTGTAAATAACATTTAATGGGCTCAAACAAGAGTGCTATGTTAGGAGATACCATGGCCACTGAGGAGGACATTCTGCCAAACTGGACCACTTCAATTTTTTAGTTTTCTTCAGGGCTTACATTCCAATGTTTTCTATGGAGTCCTTCCGAAATACCACTCTAGAGTGGTTCTAAAATGATATACTAAAAAAGCCAAGCCCATGGAGTCTATTCTGATTCCCAGTGACCCTACAGGACAGAGAACTGCTCCACTGGGTTTTCCAGGCTGTAAATATCCATGGGAAGAGACGGCCTCCTCCTTCTCCCAAGGAGTAGGTGTTGGGTTCAAACTACTGACATTCAGGTTAGCAGCAAAGGGTTTTAACCACTATGCCATCAGGGCTCCTTTAAATTATACAAGCTACTTAAAAAGAGATGGTTAATATTCATTTATGCTAAATCAAATCTGAATCCACCACATTCTTTCTGTTATGTCTTATCTTCATAATGTTAAAAACTGATATTTCCATAAGCAGTATTTTCAATCCAAATTCATTTTACTTCTTTTTCTCTAAAAGAAGTCAATTTTCTTCATGATTTCCCTCAAGACATCTTTGCCTTTCAGATTTAATACCGAAGACAAGGCCACAAAATTCCTCACTATTCCTTCACATGCTTTAATTTCTGTAAGACTTAAAATTTACAGACTCATTTCACACTATTATGATTTCTCCACTGTTTTGCATGCTTCTTCGCTTACTTTCTTTTTCCTTTTGCAGAATGAACTGTCTCGTGTGCCCTGAATTTCCGTAGTCTGTTGGACTGGAAGCATCCTGTTATGAATTCTAATTGGGATCCTTAAAATAATTCGTACCCTTTAAAACATACTCACTCATTGTAAATGAAAAGAATTCTCATTTATTGAAGAAAAATTTAGTGCTAATAGTTTTCCAGCTCTTTCATATTTTGTAAGATTTATACATCCTCCTTTAAAAGAAAATTCCTTTTTATGCATACAGACTAATATGTTTTAAAACTGCAGTCCTGTGTACAAAGTATTGTATTATGGCTCCTGCACCAAGATACAGTGATTCCAAGCAGTAGTTTTCAAACTTTTAGTCTTAGGATGCTTTTACACTCTCAATTATTGAGGACTCCAAAGAGCTTCTGTTTATATGAGGTGTGTGTGTGTGTGTGTGTGTGTGTGTGTGTGTGTGTGTGTGTGTGGTTGAACACAACTCATAGCGACCCTATGAACAAAGGCCTTGAAGCCCCTTTACAACTATCGACATTTATCAAAGTTCATAGAGTTTCTGGAGGTATGTTGTTTAGGAAGTGGATGCCACTCCTGCTTCCAAACCTGTCTTAGTATGTTACTGTTATGTGCCATTGAGTTACCTGAAATGTATAGTGACCCAATGTATAGAAGTTCTGAACTTCTGAACCCTTCCCTATCCTGAGCCAGTCTCACCAATTCCAGCACACCAACCCTCATTTTCCCAGCTACTGTATCAATCCATCTCTTCTGGGGTCTTTCTCTCCTGCGCTGTCCGTGCACCCTTCCGAGCATGATGTTCTTCTCCAAGAATCAAACAAACAGAAATCTAATATCTAATTTAAGCGGTTGCAGGTCCTTATTCCAGGGAAAGGTTTTCTCTCCATGTTGGTTCTGGAGAAGGTCCTTGATCCCTTGTTTCGTAGTGATCTTCATGTGTGTGGCATCTATCTTCCTCCATCGCAGCTGCTCATTTGCCTGTTTAATCTCCTTTATATCTCAAAAAAGATTGATTTAAGACACCCTCAACACGAATTAGGGTGGTCAGATGGCACAGTCCAAACAGAGTTGCCCTGATAACCCAATGGATGCATCTCTCTGGTGGTTCAAATCCAGCAGCAGCTCCTCAGGAGAAAGAAGAATGATCTCCTAACATGTGGTCGACAGCTACGTAAACCCAGAGGAAGGGAGCTCTGGTGGCCTGGTGGCAAGAAGCTGTGCTGAAATCCCAAAGGCACATGGTTGAAATCCACCAGCTGCTTCCTGAGAGAAGGATGATCAATCTCCTCCCATAAGATTAACTGCCTCTGGAAATGGTCAGCTATTTGTTGGTTCCAACTCAACAGTATACAACACAAACAACAAGCCAAAAAGAAGGTAAACTAAGAGTTGGTTGCAACTTGAGGGCAAGAAGTTGCTCATTAACCTAACAAATAAAATGCATTCTCAAATGAAATTATACCCCAGGAACAGGGATGAAGATTTATATCATACTTTAGGGAAAACACAATTTAATCCACAACAAACTTCAAAGACTGACGTGACCTAACTTCATGCCTAATAATCTCCCCCACATTTACTTCTTTGACCTTAAACCTGACCTTCCTGATGTTCTTGGAACACTTGAGCACATCTTCTTTGGGGTTTGGCATTAATTATTTCCTTTGTGTAGAAGAGCCTTCCTCTAGATAGGAGCACATGATGCTTCTTTACTTCCTTTAGTTGTTGATTCAGATGTCCATTTGGAGGGAAGTTTTTTCTAACCACTCTAAAATGTTAAAGCCCCTACCCCTAACATTTTCTACGCTCCCTTTCTGCCCTATGCATTCTCCTTAGTACTGACAGCTATTTAACTTATTAAACAACAAAACACCAGTTTCCATAAAGCCAATTAGGACTCAGGGCAACTTGATGTGTGCAAAGTAAACTGTGCTCCAAATGCAAAATAAATTGTCAAAGTTGTTGTGTTCCTTCGGAAACAGATTGTTAAGCTTTTCTTCCTGGATGCCTCTGGGTTGGTTTCAAGTAGTCAAGTGCTTAACCATTTCTGCCAATCTATTATATTTAAAGCATATAATAAGTACACATATGATCCTGGCTCCTCCTGATAACATGTCCAAAGTGTGGGTTGTTATGTGCCATTGAGTTGCCTGCAACTCATACATAGCAGCTCTAAACTCTGCTCTGTCCTGTGCCAATCACAGTCTCCAACACACCTACTCCCATTACCCCAATCACTGAATCAATCCACCTCATACAGGCTCTTCCTCTCCTGCGCTGTCCCTCCACCTTCCCAAGCATGACATCCCTCCAAGGACTGGTCCCTCCTTAGAACATGTCCAACGTATGTCAGACGAAGCTTCAGAATCCTTGTTTCCATGGAACTGCCCGGTTTAACCATCTCCAGGATGAACCTGTTTGTTTTCTTAGCAGTCCATGGTATATTCAATATTCTTCAACACCACCACTCAAAGGCATCAATTCCCCTTTTATTCTCCCTAGTCATGGTCCAACTCTCTGACGTATAACAAGTGATTGCAAAGATCATGGCCTATATCAGACGCACCTGAGAACTTTAAAATTTAATTAGTGCTTTGTGTACACTTTTATTCAAAAGGCTTTTCACATTTGAGCTCTATGGTAAAAATTGAGAAATGCTCAGAGAAGGTATTCTTTTCACTTTACAGAAGAGAAAATTGAGAGTTAAAGAAGTTAAGATACCTTCTTAAGGTTACATGAGTAACGAGTTGTTAAGCTAGTATTTTTCTAAATCTTAAGTACTGCTCCTCACATTGATCAAGTCAGCTAATGACAAGGGCTGTTGTCATTGTGATGGAATACAAACCTGAGGTAATTAAGTCAAGTGCTGCAGGAACTCCAATGAGTCTGGGGAGAAGCTGGGTTCCTCGTGCACCAGGAAGAATTCCTAGGTTGACTTCTGGTAAACCCACCAGAGCCTGAAAAGATGGAAGAAGCAAGGCAATTAGAATCATACTTGTTCAAAACTAGTTCCCTGGATTTCCCATGCCCTTAGAAACACTGTTGCACAGAATTTAACAAGTTTAGACAGAGAAAATTAGTGCATAGACTCTGAGTAACAGTATAAATAGCTGGGCTCTCCCCAAGTCCTCATATTGAAACACGTCTAGCATTTGGACACAATTTCTGACTCAATTGTGATTATATAGATAATAAAAAAGGGAAAAGTTCTCTGGGCTTATACAAAAAGAAGATAATGCACTGGTGGAACCTCCAAGATAATACTCTTTCAATAATCTTTTGAACATGAATGAAAACCCTATAGCTCAACTTTTAGACAAACAATAGATAAGCCTACACGGTGACCACAGCCCCAGTGGGGCTAGAATAATCAACCACATATGGTCAAAGAGCAGCATTTGTCCCCAAGAATAGGGTCTTGACGGCTGGAAGGAATAGGATAGGATTAATGGAGATGGAAAAATACAAGGAAGAAGTAGAAAAAGTGAGATTACATTATAAGTATTGTAATTAATGTTTTAAAACAAAATATTTAAAACTCAGCATGCTTTGTAAACTACAACATGCTTTGTAAACTCAAATCACAATTAAAAAAAATCACCAGTACAAAATAATGAAGTGACAATTCACAAAATGGGAAGAAAATATTAGCAAATCTGATATGAAGTTGGACTTGTCCCTACAACAAGCACAAAAATTCACACAAAGTGAATCTTCGATATAAAAGTATTTACACTTATTAGTATTCTTTGTTATGTTAATGAAGATATGTTTGCATAGGGTGTGAACATTGTTGTTATGTACTATAGAGTCACAATTGGCTCAGAGCTGACCCTCCAGCTTCTTTTCAGAGGCAGTAAATCACACAGGAGAAGAGTGTCTTCCTCCCATGGAGCAGCTGGTGGATTCGAACAGTGTGCTTTTGAGAAGGCAGTGCGCTCCTCACCATCAGGCCTCCAGTGGTCCCGAGGGTGTGAATGAAGAGGAATAAAGTCTTGATCAATGCTACAACATGGATGAACCTTGAAGACATTATGCCATGTAAAAGAAGCTGATCATAAAAGACACCGCATGACTCCATTTATAGGAAATGTGCAGAGTAGGCAAATCCAGAGAGACAAAAAGCTCTGGTGGCTTAATGGTAAAGAGCTGAGCTACCAACTCAAAGGCACATGGTTCAAATCCACCAACTGCTCTGAAGGGAAAATATGGGAAATCTCATCTCATGTTATTCACTGTCTCTGAAAGTCCACTAGAGAGAGGATCAGCTATAAGGTGGTTCAAACTCAATAGTATACATGACAACAACAATGGAGGTAAGAGGAAGGTGATCTGGTGGTGCATTGTATATTGTACAGCACTGAAAGGTCAGCAGTCCAAATCCATCATCCACTGGAGGAAGACGGGTTCTTTCCTCCCATAAAGATTTGTGGGAGCTTTGGAAACCGAGAGTTACTAGAAGGAACTGACTCAATGGCAGTGGGTTGGATAGTTGTTAGAGCTAATGGTTGGGTAGAAGTTTGGGAGTGCCTGCTAAAAGGCATAATGCTCCTTTTAGGGGTGAATATTCTAAAATTGACTGTGGTTCTTACTGGTTGCACAACTCTGGGAATATACTAACATGCTATTGAACTGTACACATTAAATGAGTAAATTGTAGGGTATGCAAATTTTCTCAATAATGCTACTACCAAAAAAGTACAGGCAAAGATGGTGAAACTTCATTTTACATACTTTGAGCATGTTGAGACTTGGAAAAAGACATCATACAGGCAAGGTGGAGGGTCAGCGAAAGACTGTTAACAAAATGGATTGAGAGTGTAACAGGGACGAGCTATCAGTAATGGTGAGGACGGTACACGCCAAGGCAGTCAGAGCTGTTGACAACAGCACCACGAGGAGTAGTAGACGACATGACAGCAAACAACAACAATTACAGCAGAGTCCTGGAGGCCCTCTTCTGACCCAGGAGTTCCCTTTTAGTCTGTAGGTCACAGCGAAGCCCAAAGGGCAGTGACAATCAGGAGCTCAGGGGCAGTCTTTCTCTTTCTCTCATTACTATTGAGACAATAACACATAGCTGGCCATCCATTCAGTTTCCAAGGCTGTAAATCTCTCTTTTTTTTTTTTTTTAATTTTTTTTTGTGTGTGTGCGTGTACCGTCAAATCAGATCTGACTGGTACAGGAGGATATTGCGCCTCCTTCTCCGGCAGAGCATCTGGTGGATTGAACCGTGTTCCTCTGGGATTGCAGTGCAACTTCTTGCCACTAGGCCACCAGAGCTCCCCATAAATCTCTCAGGAGGAGATTGCCCATCGTTCTCCATGGAGCTGCTGATGGAGTCAAACCTCCAAAGAGGTGTAGCCTTTGGGGTCACAGCAAAGCTCACTTTGGACTATGCCACCCTAGCTAGTTACCAATCAGGATAGAAGTGTTTTACCATTTTAACTACCAGTATCACTGTACTCAACCCGATGGATTGACACAGCAACTGCAACAACGGGTTCAAGTATGTCAGAGATTGTGAAGATGGCCCAGGATAAAACAGGGTTCAGGTCTGTTGTTCATAGAGTCGCCATGAGTCATACTCAACTTGATGGAACCTAAAAACTACAACCACTGTACTGGAACACAGCAGCCAAACACCAGCACTGGAGATGCCCAAGAACTCAATCAGTAAATTACATAGTCATAAATGACCACCTCACATGCTATGACTACATTTAGAGCTAATCTTCAGGGTCCCATTTCTCATGCCTTACATGGCAGCTCAGCTCTTACCTCTTCGTGGGCAATCCTATAGTGACAGGCCAGGGCCAGCTCCAGTCCCCCTCCTAACGCCATGCCTTGGATAGCGGCCACCACAGGCTTCTCACTTTTTTGTATATCATCCACTAAGTTTCCTAATGACAAGCCAAAGCGCCCTGGAGCATTGAAGCTGTGGATATCAGCTCCTAAGGAAACAAAGACAAGAGGAAAAGAGGATTGAGAAAGACTTGGTCTTTGTTACACAATGCCCATCTGGTACTCTGAGTACCAGGCAACTCTTTTGTTATTACTTATGTTATGAAAATACAGAATACACATTTGCCTACTCAACACTTTTCAGGTGTACAATTCAATGATGCTAATTGTACTCATCATTTTGTAAAATAATCACTAATACGTGTTGTTGCCAAATTTTCTATCACAATAGAGACCCAGAGCTTCCTTAACAATGAAATGGTCCAGGAAGCTGAGGCTTCTCTGGGAGCACACAAGCCTTCATTTTCTGGGTGGAGATGTAGTGAAGGAACAGTTAGTCTGACTATGTAGAAAGATAGGAGAGAAAATGAACCCAGTAAACCTGACAGCTGCTTTCCAAATGATGTCTTTAGGAAAATTTAAAAGTTCAGAGAAGAGAAATGGTGATGCTCTGCCAAAGCACTGTTCTGAGGGTGAATCAGCCCCCTCATTTTTGGCCTGATGCTACTCATCAATCCAGTTCATGGCCATTTTGCCTCATATCATTGTAAAGGGTCTAAATCACTACAGTATAAAATTACAGGATAAAAGGTATACATGAATTATACTAACATAGCAAATCAATTTAAAAGTATGTTTTATGATTGTTGTTAGGTGCCATTGAGTCAAGTATGAGTCACACAGATTTATGAACAGCCACCATGAACCCTACCCTATCCTGTGCCAACCTCATCATCTTCAACATGCGAGTCCACTGCTGAAATCACCATGTCAATCCATCTCATTGGAAGTCCTCCTCTCCTTCACTGATCCTCCATCTTTCCAATCATGATGTCCCTTTCGAAGGAATAGCCTTGTCCTGCTATTGCCTAGTATGAAGGATGAAGCTTCACCATCCTTGCTTCCAAGAAGCACTCCCACTGCACTTTTTCCTAAGACATATCTGTTCTTTTGGCAGTCCACTGGATATACAGTACTCTTCTCCAACACTGCAACCCAAAGGCATCAATTCTTTTGTCATCCTTATTCATTGTCCACCTTTCTGATGCATAGCAGGTGATTGAGAAGACCCTGGTTTGAATCAGATGCACATCAGTCTTTAAACTGACATCATCGCTCTTCTGTTTTGTGAAGAGATCTCTGACAGCAAATGTGGCCAATGCAATATGTCTCCTGATTTCCTGACTGCTGGTACCATGGGTGTTGATGTTTAAGCAAGATTAAATCAATAACAGCTTCAAACTTTTCTCCATCTACCATAATGTTGACTGTTGGCCCTATAGTGAGGGCCTTTGTTTTCTTAACATTAAAATGTAACCTATTTCAAAGGCCGTAGTTCCTGATCTTCTGCAGCAAGTGTTTCATATTCTCCTCATTTTCAGCAAGCAAAGTTTTGCCATATGCATACTGCAGGTTGTTAATAAATCTTCCTTCAATCCTGATGCCACAATCTTCTTCCTAGACTCTGACTTTGTGAATTATTTGCTCAGCATAAAGACTGAATAAGTATGAAATTAGTTGGGCATTTCTCAAGTTGAAAGAACTTAAAAACAAATTCAAGCCTTGAGTTAGAATACTGAGATAATCTTGAATGACTCAGGAAGCACCAAAGAAGATGGAATACACAGAATCACTATACCAAAAAGAATTAGTTAACATTGAAAATTTTAATGAAGTACCATATGAACAAAAGCCAATGGTGCTGAAAGATGAAGTTCAATCTGCCCTGAAGGACTTGGCAAAAAGGAAGGCCCCAGGAATGAGTGAAATACCAGTTAAGAGGTTTCAATAGATGCAGCCGTGGATGTGCTCACCAGTTTGCCAGGCAGTTTGGAGGACCGCTGTCTAGCTGACTGACTGGAAGAGATCCATATTTGTTCCCATTCGTAAGAAAGGCCATCCAATAGAATTTGGAAATTATTGAACAAAATCATGAATATCTCATGCAAGCAAAATACTGTTGAAGATCATTCATAAACCTTGACAGGAGACTACCAGAAGTTCAAACAGGATTCAGAAGAGACCATAGCACCAGGGATGGATACTAGCACAGAAAGCAGTGATAACAGAATGTCTGTGCTTCATTTGACTTTGTGGATCATAACAAATTATCACTAATGATAATTATGGCTAAATATGGGAATCCCAGAATACTTTTCTGTGCTTATCTGGAATCTATAACTAGACCAAAAAGCTATTGTGTGAACAAAGCAAGGGAATAAAGATCAGAAAGGGTGTATGACAAGGTTGTATCTTTTCTCCACAGTTGTTTTGTGCTAAACTCTTTAAAAAACCAAAAAGTAGTTCTTTCATTGTAAAATATAATACGTATAGAAAAATGCACAAAAATGTACAGCTCAACTATAAAACTATAAAAAACCAAACAAAACAAAAACCACCTTCATTGCCATCTAGTTGCTGACTCCCACTGCATTTTTGAGACTGTAAATCGCAAAGGAGATTGCCATCTTTCTTAACTTACTTACATAAGTTCTTTTTTGTGATCAGTGAAAGTAGTAAGATGTATAATTTTAAAAAGTCAAATTATGGAAAACAAATAAGAAAGATTCTATTGCTCACCCTAAATGCCACCATACAGAGACAATAACTTCAAATTTGGAGGAATTATACACTTTTTCCATGTATAATTACTGACTTTGAGACCTTGAGTAAGTTATTCAAATTTTTGGTCTCAATATCTAACATGAGAATTAAATGAAACTTTTTACTACAGCAGGAGCTCTGGTGAAAGAGTCTGTCACCAGCTGCTCTGCCCACTCAGAGGTCGTGCCCCTCTGAGGCTCCACAGAGGCAAGATGGACAATCTCCTTCCAAGCAAATGACAGTCTCAGAAATCCAATGGAAGGTCAGCGATTGCTTGGTTCTGGGGCAATGGTAATGCGTTTGCTATGATAATGATATCTAAAATAATTTTTAATGTTTTCACACAACTTTGTACACATAGTTGTTCTTATGTTCCATCACATCAGAACCAACTCATAGCTGACCCTTCAGCGAGTTTTCAGAAGCTATAAACTGCACAGGTAGAGACTGGCCATCTTGCTCCTACAAAGCAGTTAGTGATTTGAACCACTTGCCTTTGGGGTGGCAGCACAACTCCTTCATCTACTAGGCTACCAAAGCTCCCTTATCTTATATATAATGAGCCTTTTAAATAGTTATTTGCCATAGAGAGGGTTAGACCAAGCTGCTCCTTGGAAGCAAGGATTCTCAAGCTTCGTGTGACATACTTTGGACATGTTACAAGGCAGGACCAGACCTTGGAGAGGAACTTGGATAATGGATTTAGATGTGTCAGAGGCAATGCGATTGGCACAGGATAAAGCAGGGTTTGGGGCTGTTGTACGTAGGGTCGCTATGAGCCGCAGGTGACTCGACGGCACATAGCAACAACAATAACATTCTTTGGAAACATTAGGCTTTGAGCAACTGAAAAGGTTAAAGCAATTACAGTGTTTGTTCTATTTCACCTTTCTTTTGGGCTATCTGCTCCTCATCATGTATAAATCCAGGAGTTATGCCTCTTTCTCACAAATCTACCCGATTTCACTCTCCAGCCCAATGGTGAGAGTTATTAGCATTATTTTTTAGATTCCTTTCTTTTATTTTTTTTTATTTCTATATATTGTGTTTCACACATTCCACTATTCACATTATGTTCCATGGTATCATTGTCATACATTGTGTTTTGTAAAATTAATCACCATTGCTCCATGCCGACCATTACCCCACCTTTTCAGGTCCCCACTGGATCTTTCCTAATTCCTTCAGCCCCTCACTTTGCCCACATGTGATGTCGAGAATCATCCTCCCTCCCCACCCAGACTTCCCCACTTCAGAGCAGGGTTGCTAGGAGGCGCAGGCGATTCAATGGCACATAACAGTATATACCTTTAAAGTTATATATTTTTGTTGTTAAGTTTTGTTTTTACTAGGTTCCTCAAGTTTGTTGTTGCGTTTTTATTATCATTCAGTTAAAAGTATTTTCTAAATTCTATTTTGATTCATGCTTTGTCTTGAATACTTCCAAGACATCAATTTAATTTCCAAGCATGAGAATTTCTAGTTGAAATTTTGTTTTCAATTTCTATCTTAATAGCATTGTTGTCTGAACATATTCCAAGTCAAATTTATTGAGATAGCTTTTACTGTCCAATATCTGGTCACTTTCTGTAAATGTTTAAGAAGTATTTGAGAATACATGTTTTTCAATTACTTGAGTGTATTGCTTTATAAAAGTTTATTAGGTTAACTCTGGCAGTCTCTAGTGATTTTCTAGGTGAAACATTTTTCTGTCCTTGAACTGTAATTACATTTTCTCTTTTCTATCTTCTTCCTTAAAAGAAATGTCAAGTTGTCCATAACTTCATATCTTCTCTCCATATCTTAGTCACTCTCATGGACTCCCAATCACACTATGTGTGTTGTATGTTATGTAGGTGCCATTGAGCCTTTTACAACTCATAGTAATCCTATGAACAACAAATCTGAACTCTGTCTTATTCTGTGCCATCCTCATACTTTCTGACACACTCGAGCCTATTGAAGCTGTCACTGTGTCAATCCATCTGGTTACAAGTCTTCCTCTTTTAACCAACCTTCCACCTTTCCAAGCATAATATCCATTACCAAGGAATAGCCTATGCCCAAAGCAAGTGAGACCAAGCTTTATCACCTTTGTCTCCCAGGAGCATTCTGGCTGCACTCTTTCTGAGACATATTTGTTTATTCTTGTGTCTATCCATGGGATATTCACTACTGGTTCTCCAACACCACAACTCAAAGGTATCAATTCTGTCATCATTATTCATTGTCTCTCAGATGCATAGAAAGTGCATAGCAAGATCATGACCTGAATCAGACACACATTGGTTCTCAAACTAGTATTATTGTTTCTCAATAATTTGGAGATGTCCCTGACAGCAGACTTTCCCAGTGCAATACATCTCCTGATTTTCTGATTGCTGGTACTAACGGTGTTGACTGTGGATCCTTGTAAAATCAAGCTGTCACTCTTTGCTCCAGCTATCATATTGTTGCCTATCACTCCACTGGTAAAAATTTTGTTTTCTTGATGTTGAGATGCAATCCATATTGAAGGCTATATGCTATGATCTTCCACAGCTCATGACACGTAAGTATCTACAAAGTTAGTATGTCACTTACTAGCTAGCTAATACTCAGCACATTATTTTCATTTTTCTCAGACCTGGTTTTCTCATATGTAAAAGGTAGATTAAATAAGAGATTATTCTTATAGAATCTACGAATCTACTGAGGATCAAAACATAATGTACAACTGGCATAACACAATGTTCTATACCCTCTTTTGGTCAGTAAGATCTTAAAGGCTTCTGAGAAGCAATCTAAGGTGAAACTTGGTCTCCCTCTGTCTAGATCAAATAAAAGTAAACAGTCCAATAGACCAATGAACCATGTGAAAATCACTTTCCACAACCTTGAGATGACAACTAGATGGTGCCTGGCCACCATGGCTGCACACTCTAGAAAAGTACAGTAGAAGATCCTGGATAGAGTTGGAGGAAATGTGGAACAAAACTAAAAAACATAAAAAGGTAGGACTTACTCGTCTGAGAGAGCATGGTCTATGACCCCAAGACTATGGCACTGAGTCACCCTTTAAACCTGAAACAAAACTCACCCCTGTGATTCAACTTTTACCCAAATAGACAGGACTTTGTTCACTTGGGTTCACAATCAATACATTTGACACCAGTCAGGAGATTAGAAGGCATATTGCCCTGGGATATTCTATAATCAGGGACCTCTCCAAATTACTGAGGAGCAATTATGTCAGTTTGAGGACTAAGGTGTGCTTGATTCAGACCACGGTCTTTTCATTCATTTGATATGCATCTGAGAGCTGGACAAATGAATAAGGATTATAGAAGAATTCATGCCTTTGAACTGTGGTGTTGGAGAAGACCATTGAAAGGAAAAAAACCACCACACCAATACCAAAAAAACCCCCCAGATATGCCTGGAAAAGTGCAGCCAGAGCGCCCCTTGGAGGCAAGGGTGGGGAGGCTTCAACACATCCTTTGGGCATGTTGCTATGTATGAATAATTGAATTTTGAAAAAATAATTGTAAACTTTTACTCAAACCACAATTTTTTAAAGTGTATAAAAAACAAAGTAAAATTTAAAAAAGAAAAATATTTTTTAAAAATAAGTAAACACTTATGTAAAAAACACTACTTTCATTGTGTTGTGTACCACAGAGTCAGAACCGACCCATAGCTGACCCTTTGGCGTGTTTTCAGAGACAGTTTAATCGCACAGGAGGATATTGCCCATCCTTCTCTCACGAAGCGGCTAATGTCCTCGAATCGTGTGCCTTCATGATTGCAGTGCAGCTTCTTGCCAGTAGGCCACCAGAGCCCCCTTCTTTCATTATTATTAATAAGTTATTTACATAGTGTAGTATAGCAGACCTATTGTTAAGGCTTTCTAGTGCTTAAAATAGCTTTCCTAGACCACTGTTGAGCTAGCTGCCTCCTCTCTGTCTGGCCTGCAAGCACTTTAATCTGATTTAGCTGCCCCGTAGGCAGACAACCCACTCTTAGCAGCAGTTGAAGCTATTCCTTCTACATTGGACATGTTAACCTATTCACAAGGGGACTGGCTAGTCTTACCACTAAGTTAGGCAGATTTAGAAAAAATGGGAACCTTGAAATCAGGACAGAAGCAGAGAAAGCAGAAAGCATCCTTCAGGTTTCTGTTGACTGCAAAACTACCTGCATTAATTGAGACTTGCTATATCTTGCTGTTGCCTGAAGAACATAGAGTGATGGCCAGAGGTTTTGAGGCAGAGACAGGGCCAGATTACCTGAGACAGAGGCAGAGCTAAAGGTTTTTGTTTGCTGGAAAACTGACTGCTACCTCATGGAACCTAAACCAGAGCTCTTTAACCTAAGCTTGCTAAATGACTGAGAGAAGATACAATGACTGGTAAGACTAAGGGAACTTTGTTGAGGGAAGCCGAATATCAAAATTAATAATAGTAGACCAAATGTATCGGGAAATGAGGGAGGCTTAATACAAGCTGAAGGTCATAGTTTTTATCAAATGAATCCCTCCCTCTTGAGATTAGCATAAAGAGGAACTTGGCCTTATCTGTAAAAGATTTCACCATTATCCTTTGTTTTGTGCTTCCTTGTTTTTCTGTATACTCAGAGAGGCATGGCTCGGTGCCTTCAGTCATGGGAATTGTTGGTCCCCTGTTTTTCACGCTCTCTGCTCTATATCATTCCTGGCTGTTTGTCTCTTTATTATAAAATTATTCTATTCTTTGGGACCCTCGGTCTGCAACACTTTGTAAAACTAAGCCATAAAGCTGATGGTCAAAGGGCCTGTGACCATACTTGAGAAGCTGTTGGGACTGAAGTTGTATCCTGCTGCTAACCTGGATAATAGCCTGCTCACTTCCCTAGTAAACCTCATAATCGTGAGTATGGTTCTATGCAGTCTATAGAGCTATTTCAATGGGTTGTGAGTCCAGCAGAATAGTTAAGAGTGGTGTTGGAATCAGCTGAAGTAGATGTAGGAGGGTGGGGAACAACATTTAACCTTATAGGAATTTGTTTTGTACTGTGGATGTTATTGACGGGGACAATTCTTTGCTGTAGGGTTATAATGAATTCTCAACTGATTCTCCAGCAGGCTTTAAGAAGCTATAAATTGCTCTCAATAAGATTGTCCATCTTTCTCCCTCAGAGCTGCTGGTAGATTCAAACCTGCCAACTTTAAGTTAGCAACACAAATTTCTACAGACTACCACCAGAGCTCTCTAAAAACAAAACAAACCCTTTTAGTTATTACTGCTTCTGCTACATAGAGAAGTTAAAGTTCATTTTAATGTATGTAGAGCAGGTATAAACCAGGCAGGTATAAAAGCAACCAAGCCTGAAAGTAAATGTCTTCCCAAGGCCCAACCCAATATTAAGCAGTTTAAGGTCAAAATGTTCTCTTGTGACTCATGTCTCTTTATTCACAATGTTACTCATTCAAATTTCTTGTATTCATTAACCTATCATAATAAGTACTAAAGTACACCTGAGCCAATGCATAATCTTCATTTGTCACTTGCTATGCGTCTGAAAATTGGAAAATGAATAAAGATGACTATAGAAAAATCAATGCCTGAGTTGTGGTGTAAGGAGTACTGAACATCTCATGGGCTGCCAAAAGAATAAATATATATTGGAGAAAGTACACTATATGTACTTCTTAGAGACAAGAATGGTGAAACTGTCTCACCTTCTTTGAGCATGTTCTTCGGAAGGACCAGTCCTTCGAAAAAGACATCATGTATGGAAGGTGGAAGGCAAGAGAAAGACCGCAAACCCTCAATGAGATAGATTGACACAATGACTGTAACAATGGGCTCAAGTGTATCAGAAATGTTGGGGATGGCACAGGACAGGGCAGGGAACAGATCTGCTGTTCACAGGGTCGCTATGGATCAGTTGATTAGATAACACATAACAACAACAAATAAGGGATACAGAGCCCTAAGTGGCACAAAGAGTAAAGCTGAAGGATTAGCAGTTAAAACCTATCAAGCAACTCTGCAGGAAAAAGACCTGAAGACCTACTTCTGAAAGATCACAGCCAAGAACACCCTACAAAGTCTACTCTGTCACTAGAATGGAGTTGGAACAATAAAACACTAAGGAATCAACTGCAGGAGGAATTAATGCAGTATCACTCTCAACCAGTGACTGGATTCTAGAGACAGTAGTAAAAGATTATACACTGGTTACCTGCACAGAATTTGCCATCAGCTCCACAAATCACAATGGCTTTCACTGTACTATCTCCTACAGCGTTCTGCAGCCCATCTCTTACACCATTGATGACAGCAGCACTGAAAGAAAGAAAAAGAATAATTACATGCAGCAAGTTAGTCAGAATCTTACACCATCTCTCAAAGTTTTTCTTTTTCCTAACCAGGAAAAATTAAGCATGTAAAATGATTGAAAACTAGAGATCACAAAAATGAATTTAACTAATATATACGACTTAAGCATAGTGCTGTGTAAACCTTTTTAAAAAATCTCATTTTCAAAAAAAAAAAATCTCATTTTCTTTCACTTTGCTTTAACTTTGCTCACTTAGCATTGGCATTAATCAATTTCAAAAGACAGCTATTGTTGCTGTTAAGTGTCATCAGGTTTAGTACAACTCAAAGGAACCCTGTGAACAACAGACTTGAGCCCTGTCATATCCTGTGCCATCCTCATCATCTGACATACTTAATATTTACAGTGCAAGGAGTGTATGCAGCCTATGGAGAGCAAAATGTCTACACTTTATCATGCAGGGCACAGTAAGATGAATGCTGTTTAAAGGTACAAAGGAAATTTTTCATATTTACAAAACTTATATTTTATATTTATTTTAACAAAACTGAAAGATAAACAAGTCTAGGAGGCATGGCAAGCAATTCACAAAAGTGGGGGCAGGAGGAAAGGAACATAAACAAGCAACAAAAGAAATAACTTCTGTTTTGTTTTTAT